CGCTAATCCCTCCCGGGAAACGTCTTCGTTGTGGACAAAACTGCTCTTGTCAGGACATAAACCAGACCCAGAGCGATTCATGAGGTGTCAGAAATGCCTGAAAAGGATGAAAACTCACCGCTCCCCTGACACATCCACGGAAAGACTTCACCTATTTCTTAAGCCATCCATTGTGCAAATGCGTCTCAAATCCCTCTTAGGCATCTGGGTTTTTAAATATTTACTCATCCTGTCTTGACTACAGAAAAGCAAAAGTGCACGCTCAGGCTCCCAGAGGTGCCCTGAACAAAAATAAGTGCTTTAGAACAATAAGCAGATTCCCAGAATTGTTTTAGTTATCCTCTTCTTTGTTATCCGTTCTGGTTCTCCAGCACAATGCTCTGTTGTTTATTCCTAGATTGAAGCAGAAGTGCAGAGAAGAAAACACCTGGTTCGTCAGTCAGCGGAGCGTAAAGCCATCATCTCTCAGTGTTACAAACGAAAGCACTCAGAAGTGTACACTCTTCAGGTAGATCCTGTGTTTGAAATCTGCTTTGCACTCAAGGAATTGGCTGAGAGCTTATATTTGCAGTAGGGACCCCTTTTATCATGAAGAGTGTGTGCAGTTCCAGAGCTGGACTGAATCAAAACCAAAACAGCTGTCACAGCCCAGCATCTTCTCCAGGCAGGATTCTGCCAAGTGAGGGTCATTCTTTATGGAAGCTGCACCACCACCTGGTGCTGAATGCAGAATATAGTTAGTAATTGTGAGCTAACGTACCACTGCACCAGCAGGGTCACTGAAGAGTAAGGGACAGCCACAGAAATCAGCACAGGTAAACAACTAATTACTCTCAGCTGAAGGGTGGGAGCAGGCTGCTTGTCTATGTGTACCCCGCTGTAAATGCAGCATAGCCACCTTTGTTATGGGCTGCTCTGCTTTGAATTTCCTGATGTTTGACAGATGTGTTCCTAGATTATCAATCACACAAAAATTCTCACAGATTTACTGCTCCATAACCCTTTAGTAACATGTTTTGCCATTGACTGTCATGATCTGTGCAGGAAAGTGCTTCCAGCAGAGCTCTGTCGTGTTAAGGCCAGGAAAAGATGGTAAATCTTGTAGAAATGTCTTTGCTTTTACCCTTTAGGTGTCTGTAATGCAAGCCAGGCTCTTTCCCATTGCACTAAGAATAAATCTGGCCAGTTATACTTAGAAATATTCATGAACTACAACTACAGACATTTTACTGGTAACATTTCCTGCCACAGAAGTAAGCCAAGCGCAGCTATCAGCCTCGCTCCCTAGGTTTTACATATTTTCCTGTGTGTATGTGAAAGTCTGCTTCCCTCTCAGGCTGTAAAAGACTCTGCAAGCTAATTGTGTTTCTGTTTACATTTGTCATCCTTCCCTTGGCACCAGGATTCATTTCTGGCCCCAGGTTTTCTAGAAATCGTTAGATACTGCACATCACCAGATGCTAATCTCCATGGCCTCCTGCGCTACACCGAGTCCTTCTCAGGTACAGAAAACAACCCATCATCAACAGAGAACACCCATGTGATGCTGCAGTTTCAGTGATGGCAGCTGTTTCCAAGCCCTGTCTTTGACAGCTCGGTTTTGATACACAGCCGGGACAAGCAGGATGTTATTTTCTGCTTGACGAGAGGCTCTGGAGAGGCAGTATTGTGCAGCAGTTATGTTGTGGATGAGATCCTGTTTTCTGCTTTTCCAGTCCCAGTCTGCTGATGTCTCATCAGAGGCTCTCACTACAACAGGGCTGGGGTTTTGCTTGTATCATAACCTCACAAGGGGGGCTGCTGTGAAGGAACACTTAGCTTGAGGGGCTTGGTTTTCCCTCCCCAGTGCTTCCCCATTTCAGACAATTCCCTTTGGTTAGTCTGAGCTGAAATATTTTCAGTCTAGTTTTCAGCCTTTTAAAGAGATCTGTGCTTTCAGCTTCCCTGGTGACATTTTTGAAGATCTCTACCTGCCAGAAACACTGACAAAATTTGGAAGGGAAGCTGCAAAGTCGCCTCTTTTTCTCAAGACAAAAAGAAAGAAACAAGTGTGTGTACAAGGCTGCTGTTGGTTATTTTCCCAAGAAGTAGTTTCCAGGCACATTACCTTTTCACACTGTCTTTATCACAGCTCCTATATCCTTAATACTGAGCTCCCCTTAGACCTTTAGGGCTCTACCCTGAAAAGCAGCACAGGTGGCCTGGCCTTCCCAGAAAGGGAAGATGGGCTGGACTAGTAAATTCACCATCCTCTGGATGTCCTCGAGTCCCTTTCATCCATGAGGACTGCTGTTGATTTACTGCCCTCCCTCTGCAGCTTCTGGGCCCTCTCAGAGCATTTCCTTGGCACCTACAGCAGGCATGTAAATCAGTACCAGGTTTCACAACTGGATGGGGAAGCCTGGAAGCAAAGGGTCAACATGAAAAATAACAAATCCATCCCAAAGCTGATCCCGAGGAACAGTGCCAACTCCTTGAGCAGCCAGAGCATGAAGTGAAAAGTCTGGGTGCTGCATTTTGACCAACACCAGCATAGTCTAGGCAGAAAACACAACAGCCAAGAAGACTTTCATGTTATTTTCCCCAGCAAACAGTCTCACTTTTCTTGACAGATAAGCGGATCTTTCGACTCCCAGTGTTCACAGATGAGTTCTGTCAGGCCTTTATTGAGGAGCTGGAGAACTTTGAGCAGTCAGACATGCCTAAAGGCCGGCCCAACAGCATGAATAACTATGGGGTAGGACTCATCAGCTCTTGTGCTTCTTTAGGGGGAGTGTTCCTGAGCACACTGTTTACCTCCTTGCTTCACAATCCTTTCCAATCCAAACTGTCTATAATTTGAGTGCAGCATAGTTTGAGTACAGACTCTGAAATGAGAGGGTTGAAGGAATGCATATTATTTGTCCAGAGGCAAAAGGATGGGCAAAAGCAGGGAGTTGGGGTGGGATCTGGTATCTCAAAGCAATGAGCACCTTGCATTTAAGCAACACACCTTTAAATCAAGGAGTATGTTTTTAAAGGACATTCAATTTTTGATCTTACTGTGTTCACTATCACTTTCTACCTTGATCCTCTTTCCTTTCCCTGTACCTGGAGCTTTTTGGTCCTTTCTTTGAGCAAGCATCAGAGTTGGAAGAGTGCAAGACAGCTCAGCAGCTGCTCTGATGAAGCAGCAGAGGTACCCAGCTGTTGGTCAGCTGTTCCATCTCCTCTCTTTCGGACAGGTTTTACTCAATGAGCTGGGGATGGATGAAAATTTCATCACACCCCTGCGTGAAAAATATCTGCGTCCCATCACAGCCCTGCTTTATCCTGACCTGGGGGGTGCCTGCCTGGACAGCCATAAGGCATTTGTTGTCAAGTACTCTCTGCACGAAGATCTGGATCTGAGCTCTCATTATGACAATGCAGAAGTCACCCTAAACGTTTCACTGGGAAAAGACTTCACAGAAGGCAATTTGTACTTCGGGGATTTCAGACAGGTACTGAGCACATTCCTCATCTGGACCCAGCTTCTGTTCCCCTCTGTCCTCCAGTTTCAGGGCATTAACTATTTTCTAAAAAGCAGTTGCTCACTTCTAACAGTCAAATCCAGTCTGTCCCTTCCCCTTTTCTAAAATGTAGTGGTTAAGTAGGGACCTCTACTGCTATAAGTGAATTAGCAATATTCAAGCTAATTGCAACCAATTCAAAGAGAGGACAAACACAACTATTCTAGTAGCAG